ACTTTAAAGCCCTTTGATCTTTAATAATGTGTGGATGCACCCTGATGTGCTACGCATTCTCCAACGCGCCTAGGCATGCTTCTGATCAGGTGGTCAATGTCCTCCTGTGGTATCTCATTCCAGGCAACCACCAACTCCTCTCGAAGCGCTTCTAGAGTCTGAGGAGGACGTTGCAAATTGAGCAATCTCCTACCCATCATATCCCACACGTGCTCAATTGGGGATAAGTCGGGAGATCTTGGTGGCCATGGTAACAATGTGACGTCATTATGTTGAAAGAAGTCTATTGTGACTCTTGCAACATGTGGTCGGGCATTATCTTGTTGGAAAGTTGGATCTGCCAGGGTGTCAAGATAGGGTAAAAGATGGGGTTCTAGAACTTCGTGGATATAACGCTGCGCGTTCATGTTACCTCTCATGAAGATTAAAGGTGACCTGGACTCATAAGCTATAGCACCCCAAACCATAACTCCAACAGTGTGATGAACATGTCTTTCAACAAACAACTGTGGATTCCTCCTTTCACCACGTCGCCTTATAACCCTGGCACGACCATCGTGCATGCCTAAACAAAATCGAGATTCGTCACTAAAGACAATACTGTTCCATTCCTGATCCCAGAGTGACCGTTGTCTGCACCACTCAAGGCGATTACGTCGGTGTTCCCGAGTTAAAGGGAGGACCCAGTGTGGCCGGTATGAAAACAAGCCAAAACTTCTCATTCGTCGGTAAACACTTGCCAATAGTGTCTTCCGTGTTCTGCAAACCATTCATTTTCAATGGACCTGGTAGTGGACAAACGGTCCCTTAAGGGCGATCTTCACGGTCTATTGTTCTACGGCGGCGTCCAGTGCCCCTTGCTCTTTGCGTACGGCCTTCTCGAAGCCATGCCTGACACCACCTAACCACAGTGTCTACACTTCTTTGCACTCTAACTGCAATTGCCCGAAAAGAAAGTCCAGCTTCCCGAAGTCCCACTATACGGCCCCTATCAAACTCACTAAGTTGACGAAATCGTACAGGTCTCCGTACTCTAGGCATCGTAACCGATCGTAAAGGATGTCAAGAACCAAAATCCGCCAACGTTGATTCTTTACTGCGGCCGAAATATTCATTTTTAGAGCGTTAGTGAATTAAAAAAAAGCAGTATAAAAACCGGAATGTCCAACTGATAAGGCTGAAAATTTTTTCAATTATTATTTACAGTGAGATAAATACATTCACCAACTTTTATTAAAATAAAACTATTTAAACTGGGTGGTCGGACTTATATGTCACTTAGTATGTTTCCATTTAGACGGCTCAGTACTACAAGAGGGCCTATAGAATGGCCTGCTAGATCTCCTGATTTGACGCCATTAAACTTTTTTCAATGGGGCCATTTGAAATCTATTGTGTTTACTCTCCAACCTGAAAGTGATATTTTCGGGTTTTTTTCTGACTGAACTGAATAAATTAAGATAAATAAAGGTTTCTCCAATTCTCTTAAAAACGAATCAACCAATTTTAAAAAATCAAATGTCAAAATAAAGGACTTTTTTAAGGACTAGTTTTCCAATGAATATTTCCGTGAATCGTTCCGATGTTTTGAAAACATTCTAGCATAATTCTATATTATTTAGTCAGCACTGAGTTATTCAATACTTATTTTTTTTCTAAATAGCAATAAAAAAGACAATAGGATATTAACACGGATAAACTGTGTTCTTCCATAGAAATAAACTGTGGCGCTTCCAGGGAAAATAAAACAATGGTTTATTTTGAAACAATATTTACTTAATCTTACTATGTAATATTATTTACAATAATAACATAACATATTCATTATATCATTCAAAACACAACCGTCCGATGTCCGAAAACTGACTCGGTTTGATATAAAAATATAATATTATAAGAATGAAAAAATCAAAATTAAACAGATATGCTTCTCGCGCAGAGATTTGCGTATAAACGAAACAACTTCGAACGCTCAACGTTCCAGATATTACGAGATATTCAATTTCAAGATGCAAATTTTCAGGAAAAAAATAAGTGCCTACTTGGGTTACGTTCACAAACTAAAATTTGGGGCAATGAAACGCAAAGGTGGTGGTTGAAAATTTTAAAATGGCGACTATGCGCCATCTTGGAGCATTTAATCGAACGGGTGGTCATGTGACACCTTATTTTGAAGCTGCATATCAGTCATTTGTCTTTCAAATGGCTGAACATTTTTCTGAATATGGGAAATTCCGTTCCGTTCTTTATTTTATTACATAGTATCGTAGGAATGAAAAACTATATAGTTTTGATGAAATTTGACCGCCATTTTCAAAGGTATTGAATTTATATTCTATATTTATGAAGTGCCCTTCAACAGCTTCAAAAGGAGGTATTAATTGACCTTCGATTCCTTTTAAAAATGCTCCAAATTGGTGCCTAGTCGCAATTTTGATGTTTTCAACTGTCATTTTTACGTCAAAAAATGCGTCAATTTCATCACTCCAAAGAGCAGACCCAAAAAAGCCTTCTGCGCATTGGATTCTGGCCTTGAAAATAAAACTGAAAAGGTTTCCGCGACTTCAAATTCAATCTTATAAAACATCGAAAGAGGCTGTTTGTAATTATCTCTGTAAAGGGGTTGAAACCACCCCAAGATTTCGAGTTTCCGATATTATTACACATAAATCAATTATTTTGGATAATAAACTAATGCTCATATCTCTAAATATGTTGCAACTTTTTTATGTTTTTACCTGTTTTATTATTGAAATTAATTATCGTATTAAATTTGGTGAAATAATGCAATATCTTTAAAAGTAAAATAGGGGTGGAATGGAATTTTATCAATGTTACTTTTTGTTCCTAAGGGATTATTGGGAAATTTCGAGAAATAAAAACTAATTTTAAAAACTATTCAAAAAAAAATTATATTAATAAAGGGGAAATTAAGACTCCGAAAAAATGTTACGTCATTAGATTTTGGGGTCATTTCAACCCCCAGATAAGGGTATCATTCGAATATTTTCAAAAAATGAAAGCTAATTCGTCTTCTGATTTTCGTTAATGATTAATTTATTGCCTGGGAAACCTCTTAGCTCTTTTCTCAATAATGGAATCCAATGTTTAAGAACATTTCGGCTTGCCTACTTAACACGTTCAAGACTCGTCGGTTTAAATATCTCGTATATTCTGCAAACTTTGGTCTCGTGGTGAGTTTACCTCTACATATTTTTGTTCTGCTAGGCTACTTTGGATAGACGTTCTTTGTCAAAAAATATATTTTGTAAGCTTTTAATCTAAGCCTCAAATATATGTCCTTCACATTCCAGATTATACAGATTCGACACGTAGTGGCAATATTTCTGGAGCAGAAGACGTATCCAAAAGTTTATAAATGTAAAAACATGAATATTTTTCAAATAACTGTCAAATTGTGAGTCGAGGTGCAATCTTCCATCTCAGATTTCACGAACTTGAGCATGTTTTGAAAATGAAATCAGTGGTGGGTTTAGGAATCTGCTTATGCTTAGGCAACGCTTTTAAGACAATTATGACGGCAGGGGACCTGGGCGTGTAGGAAAAAAAGGAGCGCACATTTCCTCTAAAACATCCAATGTCTTTTATGGCGATTTTGTCTCAAATATTCATTGTTATACAAATTGCATGGTCTCACAAACAAGAAAATTGTAATGTCACAAGTTATCTTTCAAAATATTTGCATTTTCCTTTTTGTGGTGAAAAATATCCCACTGTCTACGCCACTGGTGTAATTTTCGCCGATTTTTTTTATATACGTACAAAATTCCAAGCCAACACTTTTATCGAATCCTGAGGTATTAACTTTTTTTTGGACTCCAACAGTCTGTTTTTCGACATTTAAGGCCCATGCCTGTAGAAACTTTTTGCGTTATTCTTGGACCTACTTTCTACCCCAAACGTATTCTCGGGGTTTTGAATTGAAATACAATAAACAAAATTCGGTTTAGTCACAGAAAATTGTGTATGAAATTTTGAGTCGATATTCGTTGTTATGGTTTCTTATTTATATTTTGTAAGACTTTGAGGTATAGCAGCGTTTTGTTTTCTGTCCTAGAAATATTGCCAATTTACTGCCTGCTCAATATATTGTGTATAAGGATTATTGATAGAAAGCTAGAAAAAACATATTTGCAGAATGAAAGATAGTTGCCTTTTGGGTTTTCACAAATAAAAATATATCCCATTTTTTTGAAAATATCAGGACTATTTGAGCTTCGTATCTAAAATGCCTAGTTCTTACTAGGAAGTGTTTTAGAGAATTTTGATAGCAATTTCTCTTAAAATTGAAACAACAAATCACATGTAAGAAAATCACTGAAAGCTTTAAAAGAAACATGTATAAACAACCCCATAAACTCAATACAAGCTATCAATGATTGACAGTACAACGAAACTATTTTTCGTAGTTTAAGTAGTTTCTCTAAAACACTTCCTAATATATTATACAAAAGCCAGTAATCTGTAAACTCACCTCAACTTAATCTAAATCGCCAAATCTTTGTCACTGTCTACATTTGCACAAAAATGTTGCATCAATAGATCGGTTCTCCCTAACGATTAAGATCACACTATCATGAATACTGTTTATAGTCTTCACCACGCACTTTAACACTCTCTCAAAAACTTCGTCTCCGACAAGAAAGAATGTTTGACCTTCACATTGGAAACGTCCAGGTTCTGGTCAATCCTGGAATCCATCGACGCCTCTGAGGCAAATACTGAATAGTGTTAACCGATTATATAGCCACTCCAACAGAGCACTGTTATCCACTTGGAGCAGAAACGTCTTCCAACTTCATCACAGAGATATTGTAAATTGGAGTGTAGCTTCATTAACACATGGTGTGATAGGTCCATGTTCCTTGAAACCGTCTATCACATCACTACAATCACTGGATTTTTGATGTAACTGGTACGCTGAGTCAGTTATATCGTGGGACCGGGAGTCAGGCAATCCTCCGACCCGGAAAATGGTGTCATAGGTATATTTCCGGCGAACTTTGACCATCCGAATTGAGGTTCATGCTGCTATTCATACTGCTGTACCCACTTTCGGCGCCGCTTTGCGTCAGCCTCTCTAGTTGATGCCTCAGAAGATCTCTTTCTTGAGTCACCCTGGCCAGTTCCTCGTTCTTGATAGAGAGGTCTTGTTGGAGCTTCTTGTTCATCTCCTCCAAGGTTTGGCGTTGGCAAAGCCTCTTCGTCCTGCAATTCTGCGCGTATCCGCGATTCTTCAGAGTTCTCCGCTTTTGCTTCACTCTGGTGATTTCGTCTCTGGGCAGACCATGTAGGCGTTTGTTCAGGTCTCGCACCGATATTTTGGTCAGCAGATCGTCCGTAATACCGATCTGTTCGAGACATGTAGGGGTAGCTGACGTGGAATATCCGTTGCTGCGGCTCAATCTAGAAGTCTTGGAACACACGGATTGAGATCGGACGTGGTGGACGACAGGAACGGTTGGTTCGAAGCTCAAGCCTGATGGAACGTAATCGCGTCTCTCCCAGTCCGGTTCATCTCCCATGACATGCAAAGGGCGAAGATCTAGCGGTTGAGGCTCCATACGAACGTTAGGAAACCACATCATCTGGTTCATAGGTCCAGGTTGTCTACAGCCATGCGGAGATTGGTCCGGAGGTGTATCCGGCGGTGTCCCTGGATCGTTGATGATAGGCATGTTCATCAAGGAAGGCGGTTGGCCGTACATCGAAGACTCGGGAGACGCCGGGTAGGTTCTGTCGTCCCAGAACTGGTCTCTGCAGAGCCTCTTGGCGGCTGGCTCCGCGGGGATCCAAGTCGTCTCGGAATCCAGCTGGCGCTTATCTTCTCGCTTCACCGCTATCTCTTCCAAATGGTCAAGGACGAAATCCTGAACGTATTCCTCGGCCAAGTGCTGGTTATCGACAGGTTCCATGGCTATGAAGCGCGAAGTTGACGCACAGATGCATTCGCGACGGGAGTTCGAACGGGTTTGAAGTTGGAGGCAGTGTGTCGGCGGCAAGCGTTTGGAGGCGGGCGTTGCCGGGGTCTCAGGCGCCGCCCCATAAAGCGGATAGGTGCGCGTCAGCTCCCGCACGGAAATTTGTTTATACCTCAACAGCCAGTCAACACTGAGGATGCATTGCACCGAGGACCATATTGTTGTAAGGGCGACCTTTATTGCCAAGCTTTCGAGCTTTCCAGCTAAGTTCGAAGCTTTTTATTATGCCTCTCGATTTTGATGCATACGTTATGTTCGCCTTTGTTTTCGTAATATACTAAGTGACATATAAATCCGAACACCCAGTTTAAATGGTTTTATTTTAATAAAAGTTGGTGAATGTATTTATCTTACTGTAAATAACAAGTGAAAGAATTTTCAGCCTTATCAGTTGGACATTCCGGTTTTTATACTGCTTTTTTTTTAATTCACTAACGCTCTAAAAATGAATATTTCAGCCGCAGTAAAGAATCAACGTTGGCGGATTTTGGTTCTTGACATCCTTTACGATCGGTTACGATGCCTAGAGTACGGAGACCTGTACGATTTCGTCAACTTAGTGAGTTTGATAGGGGCCGTATAGTGGGACTTCGGGAAGCTGGACTTTCTTTTCGGGCAATTGCAGTTAGAGTGCAAAGAAGTGTAGACACTGTGGTTAGGTGTTGTCGGGCATGGCTTCGAGAAGGCCGTACGCAAAGAGCAAGGGGCACTGGACGCCGCCGTAGAACAACAAACCGTGAAGATCGCCGCCTAAGATTATTGGCCTTAAGGGACCGTTTGTCCACTACCAGGTCCACTGCAAATGAATGGTTTGCAGAACACGGAAGACCTATTGGCATGCGAAGTGTTTACCGACGAATGAGAAGTTTTGGCTTGTTTTCATACCGGCCACACTGGGTCCTCCCTTTAACTCGAGAACACCGACGTAATCGCCTTGAGTGGTACAGACAACGGTCACTCTCGGATCAGGAATGGAACAGTATTGTCTTTAGTGACGAGTCTCGATTTTATTTAGGCATGCACGATGGTCGTGCCAGGGTTAGAAGGCGACCTGGTGAAAGGAGGAATCCACAGTTTTTTGTTGAAAGACATGTTCATCACACTGTTGGAGTTATGGTTTGGGGTGCTATAGCTTATGGTTCCAGGTCACCTTTAATCTTCATCTGAGGTAACATGAACGCGCAGCGTTATACCCACGAAGTTCTAGAACCCCATCTTTTACCCTATCTTGACACGCTGGCAGATCCAACTTTCCAACAAGATAATGCGTGACAACATGTTGCAAGAGTCACAATAGACTTCTTTCAACATAATGATGTCACGTTGTTACCATGGCCACCAAGATCTCCCGACTTATCCCCAATTGAGCACGTGTGGGATATGATGGGTAGGAGTTTGCTCAATTTGCAACGTCCTCCTCAGACTCTAGAAGCACTTCGAGAGGAGTTGGTGGTTGCCTGGAGTGAGATACCACAGGAGGACATTGACCAAGCATGCCTAGGCGCGTTGGAGAATGCGTAGCACATCAGGGTGCATCCACACATTATTAAAGGTCAAAGAGCTTTAAAGCAGTGCAATCATTTTAAAATTTTTATCATTTACTTATTATGCTTCATTAAGTACTTATACAAAATTCTATTAAAATAAAACCATTTAAACTGGGTTTTCGGATTTATATGTCACTTAGTATATGCGCGGGTGTAAAAATCGGTAATGTAACTTTTGACAGTTACCCAACGATTTTATTACGCCTTCAAAAATGGGTGCGAAAATCCACTAATGCTGCGAAGTATCGACCGAGAGCTAGCCAGTAACTCTTATTTACGTTGTGAGTCTTTGGTTGTATTTGGATTGCCTCGAATGCATTTGAACTTGAACTGGAACGTTCTGATAACAACGTGATGGATGTTTATGCGGGGTGGACAGTTTGGTATAATACTTACAAAGGGTAATTACGAAGTTTGTGTTGGATAACGCAACTAATGCTTTTGGAGGTAATCATATATGTTGTTAACTTTTCGCCAACAACGAGTACATTGCTTATAGATATTTCTGTAATTTTATAAAAAAATATTAATTAAATGGGTGCTCCTTGCCAGTATTCTTATAGAAGGGGCTACTAGGGCCAGCTAGTTTCCAGTTGTCGGACAGCATTTGATTGGGCAAATTTTAAACAGGACCGTATTAAAATTTGTGATAGTAGAATAGAAATTTTAAATCAGATGTTGAGGAAAAGAAATCAAACACACTCATACTGAGTCGATTTAATATTGATATTATTATCAAAAATATACTAAGTGACATATAAATCCGAACACCCAGTTTAAATGGTTTTATTTTAATAAATAATATTTAATAAAACTTCCAACTGAAGAGTGGGATATGGGAGGATGGGAGGTAAGATGGCTGTAAATCTCCAAGAAAAAACAAACTCAGTCTTTGTCAATTAATATTAGTAATAATAAACGCAGTTTATTAAAGAAAAAAAAAACAAACTGTATGTATACTAAGTGACATATAAATCCGAACACCCAGTTTAAATGGTTTTATTTTAATAAAATTTTGTATAAGTACTTAATGAAGCATAATAAGTAAATGATAAAGATTTCAAAATGATTGCACTGCTTTAAAGCCCTTTGACCTTTAATAATGTGTGGATGCACCCTGATGTGCTACGCATTCTCCAACGCGCCTAGGCATGCTTCTGATCAGGTGGTCAATGTCCTCATGTGGTATCTGATTCCAGGCAACCACCAACTCCTCTCGAAGAGCTTCTAGAGTCTGAGGAGGACGTTGCAAATTGAGCAATCTCCTACCCATCATATCCCACACGTGCTCAATTGGGGATAAGTCGGGAGATCTTGGTGGCCATGGTAACAATGTGACATCATTATGTTGAAAGAAGTCTATTGTAACTCTTGCAACATGTGGTCGGGCATTATCTTGTTGGAAAGTTGGATCTGCCAGGGTGTCAAGATAGGGTAAAAGATGGGGTTCTAGAACTTCGTGGATATAACGCTGCGCGGTCATGTTACCTCTGATGAAGATTAAAGGTGACCTGGAACCATAAGCTATAGCACCCCAAACCATAACTCCAACAGTGTGATGAACATGTTTTTCAACAAAAAACTGTGGATTCCTCCTTTCACCACGTCGCCTTCTAACCCTGGCACGACCATCGTGCATGCCTAAACAAAAGCGGGACTCGTCACTAAAGACAATACTGTTCCATTCATGATCCCAGAGTGACCGTTGTCTGCACCACTCAAGGCGATTACGTCGGTGTTCTCGAGTTAAAGGGACGACCTAGTGTGGCCGGTATGAAAACAAGCCAAAACTTCTCATTCGTCGGTAAACACTTCGCATGCCAATAGGTCTTCCGTGTTCTGCAAACCATTCATTTGCAATGGACCTGGTAGTGGAGAAACGGTCCCTTAAGGCCAATAATCTTAGGCGGCGATCTTCACGGTCTGTTGATCTACGGCGGCGTCCAGTGCCCCTTGCTCTTTGCGTACGGCCTTCTCGAAGCCATGCCTGACAACACCTAACCACAGTATCTACACTTCTTTGCACTCTAACTGCAATTGCCCGAAAAGAAAGTCCAGCTTCCCGAAGTCCCACTATACGGCCCCTATCAAACTCACTAAGTTGACGAAATCGTACAGGTCTCCGTACTCTAGGCATCGTAACCGATCGTAAAGGATGTCAAGAACCAAAATCCGCCAACGTTGATTCTTTACTGTGGCTGAAATATTCATTTTTAGAGCGTTAGTGAATTAAAAAAAAGCAGTATAAAAACCGGAATGTCCAACTGATAAGGCTGAAAATTTTTTCACTTGTTATTTACAGTAAGATAAATACATTCGCCAACTTTTATTAAAATAAAACCATTTAAACTGGGTGTTCGGATTTATATGTCACTTAGTATATTTGAATTTATGTAAAATTTCCCATATTTCAAAGCAACTTGTCCACGAGTCTATTTGGGCCGGCTACCCGTGCTAGCCGGCAAAACGCCCATCAAGGGAGAAAACATCCGAGCAGCGAAGTTCAAGTAAACAAGGTAATCCGTAGGCCGACGTGTACCGCGAAACGGCGAAAGGGTTAATATGCCTGAAATTTTAATTGTGAACAAATAATTGCTGCCGAGCTGAGTATTTGCGTTTTGCGTTCAACTCCACAGCCGATTTAACGAGCTTGAAGGTGGATGATGCCAAGTGGGATACGTACTCAAAACTCGCCTGTCAAATTAACCATTGGCGTTCCTAAGAGGGAGGTAAAGTAGATAGTTACACGTAAGGGGCCGTTCAAGTATTACGTAAGCAGATTTATTACGATTATTTACCCCCGCATCCCCCTTGTCAGCAAAAGTAAGCAAAGCGCTTACCCCCTCCCCCCATGCTTACGTAAACATTTGTCAATTAATGTATTGTTTTTTTTATATTATAATTATAACGTTATAATTATAATTTGAAAAATAAGAAAATAGATTTAGGATACAGTTTATATTTTACTGATACGTTATTCAACATAGAGTAAAGGAC